GCCGGCGCGATTCACAGCATCTAGATCCGGGAAGCAGCCTCTACGCCCATCAATAGTTGAATGGATAAAGAACATGTGTTATTCACGTACAATGGAGTTTTATTCTGCCAGGAAGAAGGATAAACTTCAGTCATTTGTATGAAAATGGGTGCCTCTTGCAACTATAAATCGCTTCACATACAGCTTAGTCAATTCAAAGACCCCAACACTTGGTATTCCAAAGAGGAGATTAAAGAAACCCTGTCTTGTGTCTTAGGTGAATGTTACTGGTTTTCTTAGTTCTGTGTCTTTCACTTTTGTGTCGGATCACAGAATTGAAGGTGCTGATTCCAGCAGGGACATCTAAAGGAGCTGCATAAATTTTCAATCCAGTAGTAGATAGGAAAAGCTAATTTTCTAGTGAGTGAAAAAATACTTTGAAGTGAAATATGGTATGCCTTTTTACTTATATATTCTAAAATACTTTGAGGCAGATTTGTATCATTCCCTGTATGAATGTTTGTAGAACTGAAGTTTCATTAGAGCTAACTGCAGTTGCTGGCTCTGTTTTAATGACCACTAAAATTAGGATTTTAATGTGGTAGAGTTTTCGGAATTTTACTAGTTTGGTCCGTGTATCTGTTTCTTGATCTGTGTTATAAAACACTTTTGCCTTTTCACAGTCAGTGACTTTCGGTTTTGCATCTGTGCTGTTACGTGTCTTCCTATCTGCCTTGTGTTTGTATTTATAATGTTGGAATGGGGGAAATTGGAGTGGAACATTTAATATAACTGCTTTTGAGGATTCTTGCACAATTATTGTACTAACAGCTGTATAATTTGCAATGTTTAATGTAGCTTTGGGAAGACAAATATCTACCATTATCTCCTCCTATTTAATTTCCCCAAGTTATTATGAATGTTCCCACTTGCCACCCAGTCAGGCTGGGAACCTCTGGGGGACAGAATTCACGTGGATCATGGTATGAAGGAGCCCCTTGGACTTGTACAAGCAGCAGCATCTACCAGTCACAGGAAATGCACACTTCCATTGGTCAGTAGTAAGAACTAGAATAGCCTCAGTGATGGATTTGTTTAACTTACGTGGGGTCTAATTTCTTAGTCTAAGTTTAAAATGTCTATAATGTCTATATATTTTCTGAGAAACTTCAAGGTGTATAAGGCTTCAAATCTTTTATAATAAAATATATTCAATATAATCATCAATGAGCTCAACATGGAGGTTTTTTGTTTTTTGTTTTTTTTTTTTTGTATCCTAGGGAAGGATCTGCAGAGTGTTCAGGGTCTCACTGCTAGATTGGACTCATAGTGATCCGCCTGTTTACAGCCTCCCAAGAGCGGGGATTACAGGCACGTGCCACCAGTCGCACTCTCAGCGTGCCGGCCCCTGCGCCTGCTTGCAGGTGCTTTAATCCTCTGAGCTATTTGGCCGGCCCACGACATAGAGTTTTGACAGTCTAATCTAGGTGGTACAATTGCTATTGTGCCGGCGAATGATTTAGGGCTCAGCAGTGCAGAGTTACGTGCGTAGCGCTCTGCAGACAGACGCACACATGTCTATGAACACCCAATAAAATGAAGAAATGGAGCCTCCGACGCTAAATACGTGAATGCAGAAGAAATTATCACAGTGAAATGACTATTCATCGCCTTGTGGTTATGGGGTTTCTCTTCTTTACGCTCTCCTTGGGATGTGGGCAGGCTCGCACTTCTCTGTGGGGCGTCGCGGAGACCCCACCGGCCTTCTCGGAGTCCTCCGCGTGAGCCCTCCCCGGGCGGCCGGCCCTCCCCAGCCCCGCACCGTGAGCCCCGCACCGTGAGCCCCGCACCGTGAGCCCCGCACCGTGAGCCCCGCACCGCTCTTCTGCGGCGGGCTCTTTCCTGCGGTGCAGGCCGCTGGCCGCAGGTCTGATTCTGACGACGGCTGCCCGGCCCTGGAGCTGAGCCCGCGCGGCCTCTCCGGGGCCCGCACGCCGTCCCTCCCCGTGGCCGTCCGTGCGCGGGCCCCGCGGGCTCCCCCGCTGCTCCTCGGGGGGGACGCGACCACCGCAGAAGGGCGCCCGCTGCCTGCTCCTCCCGCGAGGTTCGAGGCCGCCTGCGGCTGGGCGTCGGGCCTTGCAGAGCCGGCTGCCCTGCCGGTAGTCCCCGGTGTCCCTTCAGCAGCTGGGCACCCAGTCTCCTGTTCCCCTACACCGTGAGTCCGTTCATAGCGAGGTTTCAGCTTGGCTTCTGTTGTGGGGGGCTGGCGCGAGGGCGCGAACCCCTGACGCTCAGTTCTGAGCCGCAGCCCCCGGCACCCCGCAGAGCTTGTGGTGTGTGCGCCGCCGCGGAATGCGATCGTCACCCCCTTGACGTTCCCTGGGAGAAGTCCTGCGGCTGCCCTTACGATATTGTCGTTATTTCTTACGTTGTTTTCAGAAATCATTATAGCTTTCCTGAGTTTCTTTACCTTTCTCCCATAGCGCGCCTAGGAAAAAACATCTTTCTGACAATAACCTGCCACATAAGCCGTAGCATTATGGAGAGAGAGTAAGGGCAACAGACAAAAAAGGAGCCCGCGCACTCCCGCCGGGCTGCCCTGCGTGGAGGGGAC